CAGCAAGGACGGGCGCTCCCTCTGCGAGAGGCACGTCCTGGGGGTCTTCAGCAAAGTGCGCTTCTGCAGCGGCAGGAAAAGGCCGGTGAGGAGGAGACCGGGTGAGTACGGCGGGCAGGGGGCGTGGGGACTCGCCCCGAGGGGTGGGACAGCCCCCGACCCACCGCGATGGCTGCCCCGGGGGTGGGGAGGGGGCTCTGCCGGTACCGCCGGGTGCCGTCTGGGGACAGGTTTGCTCCACGCTCAACTTTGGGCTGGGTCCTGTGGGATCTCCTTCCCCGGGTTGGTGGGATAGGTGGGCACGGAGCTGCCTTCAGCGCTGTCCGAAGCGGGTCCTCCGGCAGGAGAGACCCAGCAGCTTCGTCCGTGATACCTTCACCCAGAACTGTATTTTTCCACCTCCCTGTAGATAACGCTTTTTAAATAGTCTCCTCTTGTTTTCTGCATAGTGACAAGGAAATCGATAAAACTGAGGATCAATTAGAATCGTGGCCATTTGATAACTAGATCCATCAAGTGCTACTTCACGAGCGGAGTTGCATAGGGAATTTCATTAGCTCTGTATGGCAGCTGCACGACGGTTACACCTAATACTGAGCTTGCAAGGACCTAGAAATGCTTTTTAGGGTAGTGGTTTGGTTTTTTTTTTCCTTTCTTTCCTTTATCTTTTTGTGCATGTGTGCTCAGTCTTGGTTCCTTGTGGAGAACTTCAGCCCTAGTGTACGTGTTGCTCACATTTCCACGATGAAGTCCCACCACCCCCAGTTTCGGTTCTGAGCAGTGCTTTGTGCTGTCGGTTGTCCTTGGTAGGCGTGAAAACTCAGTACTTGCCAAGGGTAGGCCCTCTGTGATTTTTCAGTGGAATTATTATTTACATCTTTATTTTTTCACTCCTTGTAAATCACCACTAAGGTAAGAAAACAGATTGGTTTGAGAAGCTGCTGTGAACATGTACTTTTCTCAGGTGTCTGTTAGTATCGTGGTTAAAAGAGAGTGATGCTCGTTTACTTACCTCGTTCCTTGTAAGTCACCACTAAGGTAAGAAAACAGAGATTGGTTTGGGAAGCTGCTGTGAACATGTACTTTTCTCAGGTGTCTGTTAGTATCGTGGTTAAAAGAGAGTGATGCTCGTTTACTTACCTCGTCGGGAGGTACCATCAGCCTGTGTAATCCTCCCGTGTTTTTTATATACATTGATATTTTGTTTGTTGATGAGTTTTTTCACATTTCCACATCTGAGGACCGTCAGTCATGACTCTACATCACAGTGTCGGAGCTAGCTGCGGGCTGCTCTTCTGGCCTGTAGATTAGGGTACAGGACCGGTACTCAAGTGAGGAACAAAAAGAAATAGGGGGAAATCTCTTACCATAGAAGGGCACTTACTATTGTCAACAAAAGGGAAAGAATAATGCCTCTGGATTGCTGTCAGCCCCCCTGATTCCCAGGCTGTATTTAGCTAGGAAAATACTTCAAGACTTGCAATGCATGGGTTAGGCTGGGAAAACCAGACTCTTTAACCATCTGTTTTAAAGCAGTTACCAAAAAAAAAAAAAGATGTAAAATATCTGAAATATAGCACGACTTGAAATATTCCAAGGGAAAAAAGTTACCTTTTTTTTTTTCTTCTCAAGTTATGATGAATGGTGGCTTGCTGGACCATTCTCTATGTGTTAGTTAACCTGTGAGCCCAGACCAAAAGATGTCTCTTGCCCAGAACGTGTGGTCATTTTGTCTTGGGAATCACTCTTTGTAGGATCAAGAGTGGGACCTGGGAGTCTCACTGATTAAATTTTTCCCATTCCTCTTTCCTCTCTATCTGCTATTGAATGAGGTCCCTCAAGGATTAAAAGGACCGGAAAGTGTAGACCTGTTGCCAAGATTTCAAGGTGCTTCCTCTCGTTAAAGTTTGAGTGACTTTGACACCAGGGTGTGGTTGGTGAGGCTTTTTGTTGGTCCTACCACAGTGCTCCCAGCTGCACAGGTCCCATTCTGCTTTCCTTTGGACTCACTAAATGCCTGTGAAGAATTGATGAATTCTAAGAATTCCCTCAACGTGCATGGGCTTTCATGCTGAGGAAGATGTTCAATAGTTTACAGACCAGAGTAATTTAAAGAAGACTTTTTATTGACTTGGAAGGAGGGTTAATGCTACTCAGTGCTGTAAAAATAGAGCTGTTCAGTCTTTAGAGCTGTCAGTCAATCCCTCATAGGTAGTACTGTGTTCATTTTAGAAAATTAAACAAGTAGAAGAATTAAGTTGCTTGGAAAAAAATTCAAATATCCTTTTCTTGGCAGTGGACTGTGTCTGCTTTAGTTCCCTATATCCATCTTTTAAGTAGAGATTTATTTCCTCGGGACATGCTATTCCTGGGCTCAGGTGTGCTGCTCAGGAGGCAGCGTGCCGCTGGACTTGCTGCTGCTCAGTTGTTCATTCAGGGAGTGGATTGTGCCCAGCTAACTTGTTCATTGCAGAGTCACTCTTCTGCAGAGAAAATGCCGTGCAAATGAATTTAAACTGGTTTAAAGAAGTGTGCCTACACTGTGCAGTGACCCACAGCCCCGGTGATGGTGTGTCCTTAACGATACGCTGGCTCAGGAGTTTGCCAGTCAGCGAAAGGAACGGGAGAAACTCTGTGTTCAGAAGGGGTACAATCCTGTTTGGAAATGGTGCGATGCCAGGGGAACTGCCTTTAGCTTTTTAAACATAGAGATCTAATTCTGATGCTCGTTCCAGCATCCTGTGCCAGTGAGCTGACAGTGGGGCGATGGTGGAGCTGGAACAATTTGCACCATTACAGCAGTGTACCTCCGATGGTGGTTCATGTGCCCTTTGCTCTTTGCTTTTGTAAAAGTAACTGCGTGAGCTTACGTCAATTAAGTGTTTTTAATACGTGCTGTAACTAAAATATTTGTTAAAGATGTGCGTGAGCAGAGTTCCTTTACACTGGTTTGTGCTTTGCAGCCGGTGTGAAGCAGCAGTGGGATCCTTCTGCTCTCACACCTGGGAGCAGCACGGGCTGCTTGGTGGTGGGCAGGAGTAGCCGCAGGTTTGGGAAGCTCTGGGGAACCAGGTCCGCACAGGGACATCTTGTGTAATCACAGCTCTCGGCTCCCAGGGAGAAGAGGGGTCTGCAGGAACATCCCGGTTGTTGGTTGCAATGAGCACGGTGATGTAAAACGAGGACTTGTGTCATCTGCCTTTTCCATGGGCAGAGGCAGCTCTCTCATGTGCATGCTCCGTGTTCTTTTATCTCTTGCATGTGTTTGGCTCTAAGATGACTTATCAGTTTAAGACGGGCCAAATGAGGATGCTGAGTGCTATGGGCTGAGCTGAAAATTTGGACACATGGGCTTGATCCCGTTATCGTTAATTAATGCAGGCTGTTGGCTGTGATTGTGTAGGTGCCAAGCAAAATACACGTATGTTGAACAGCACCTGTATGGTTATATGTATAAGGTGCAGCTAGAAGAGATGAAATTATAAATTTTGCTCTGGTCATAGTAACCTGATGGAGGGTTTGGGAGAACTTGCTGCATGGCATGGCTTTTTGGTGCAGGTGCGAGAGCTGGATCCCTCATCAGAGAACGGCAGATCCAAGAGCTGAATGCAGAAGATGAGACAAAGCAGCTCTCTCTGCACAACTTCTCTGCCAACAAATGGTTGAACCAAGTCGTTTTATCCCCTTTGTGGCTGAATTAAAGCATCCAGGCATGTCGCTTCTTCAGCTGTTTTATGACAGGCTGGGAGCCCTGGGCCGGTGGGTCCAGCTGGTTGGTGAAAGCTGGGGCCGTTGCTTCCCCGATGGTCTCCCAGGCAGAGCCCCTGGAGAGCTGAGGTGGAGGTGGCCATCCGTCCTGCCGTGGCCACTGCATGGCAAAGCTGAGGAGTCTGGGGGCCTTGCATGAAGGGAAACAGGCTGGAGCATCAGGCCTGGTATCTGGGGGGTTGGTGGAAATTTTGTGTGAGGTGTCGTTACCTGGGGAAATCATCCTTGAATTCAGGCGGCTTTGGGTCAGGCGGTGCCAGCACTGTGTAGCATCATCTCCGTCCCTTCAGGCGCTGCTTCTGTAGATGAGTGTCCAGCTCAGAATGTGGAGCTCAGTCTCAAACAGGATTTTACCCCTGGAAGAATTAAAAAATTCTCATTTATTTTTCCTCCTTCCCCCCCCGTCTGATATATATTTTGTGCTCCTCCAGGGAAAGGATGCTTTTCCTTAAGGAGATCTAAAGGCTTCTTCCAAAGTGAAGGAAATGGCTCATACATATAAAAATCCAGTAACTTAAAACATCTTTTCCCTTTGCAGTATTTCTTGTTTTGAATAATATATGGAGACTTGGAATTTAAAGTATAAGTATGTAGATATTTTTGCAGCAGTATAAGTAAAATATAAGAGCAACTTTAGCTGAAGGACACAGAAGGACTTTCTTCATTCGGAGATTCATTTAAAACGTTTGAGAAGTCTGTCATCTCTGCAAGCTGTTAAATTCCCCGAATTAAATCCCGAAGTCCTTTCTGATTTCATGCAGGGTGAAAATGATGATTGAAGTGAAAAAAACCCCACCTTTTTAGCTCCCTGTTAAATTTATCGTAGTCCTTGCGTGCTTTTACGGAGCAGTTCCTCTCAGTCCAGCTGTTAACATCTGCCCAACCTGTGGAATTTGGCCGCTCTGTTGCTGCAGTGTCCTGATGCTGGCTGTCTGCGGGCGGATTCACGCTGGATCCAGCCCTTTTCCATAGCGTGTGGCTGGGTGTGCGCCCAGCCCAGGCGGGTCCATCGCATCCTTCTGCCTGCTCTGCTGCAGGAGATGCTGTGCCGTGGGTACGGAGTGGCTGGAAGGAATGGAAATGCCTGGAAATCCTGGCATCGCCTCGCCAGCAAGAGCTGTTAGAAGTCCTAGCTGAGGACCCGCCAGTGCTAACGAATGCCCAAATAGTCGGGGGGGGGGAAGGCTCCCTCCTGCTCCTGACAGCTCGGCAGATGGGTTTCATTTTATCAAATTGATCCCCGGGGGTGGCATCGCACGCATTCGTGACTTGCAGTTGTGGTGACTGTCACGGGATGTGTCTGTGCTGGGTTACTGTGGGGAGTCAGATAGCA